CGGGATCCTGGGGGCTGCAGCAAACGGCGCTGCTGCCTCCGGCCCTCACAGCCCGTTTCAGGCCTTGGGCAGCACAGGGAAGAAGGCAGCAGAACCATTTTGACCCACAGCAGCTGAAAACGGGTTTTCTTTCCTGGGTCTGCAAACAACTGCTGCTTTCCACTCCTTTCTTTTCCTTTTTTCCTCCCCCATTTAGGGATACCAGGTTTGGGACAGACTCTAGAAGAGCAAACCGAAATCTAATTTAACAGTTTACATACTGTACCAGAACAGAGTTCAAGGAGCGTTGTGGGGGGAGAATGCCTGTGAATCACCAGTTGGAAGGATCCATGAAAAAAAAAAAGGCGATACAAAATGAATCTGCTTACAGGCACAGCCTCGAGCAAAAACACACAAAGGCACCAAGGAGAGGGAAATGTCTGCGCTGATGCGTCCGCAGCCAAAAAAACACGCTCAGGGCAATATGCACAGACTAAAGGGAAACAAAGCAGAGCGATATAGCTGGACCCAAAGCAAAGTTCTAAGGGGACTGCATGCCCCGATCTCCGGGCCCTAAATATTCGAACGCCATACCCAAAGGGGTTGTCATCAACAGGGACGCCTAACATTTTGGTCAGGTGGATAGGACATGCAAGAGGAAGTGCCATTTCCAGAGAATGGATGGATATCCCATCACCTGGATGAACTACGTTAGCCCAGAAGGTCACTATGCCCCCTGCTCTGCTTCATTCCCGCTCCCACCACCGGAATTCCTTGATGAGCTTGGAACAAGTTCAGCTCCAGATTTCCAGCAGAAACAAACCAAACAACTGTTTAGCTGTGAACTTTCCTGACTTCAGTTGCCCCTTTTTTCTTCTTCTTGATGGTGGAAGATAGCAAACTGTCTCGTTGCAGAGCACTGACACCTGCTGATAAAATAATCCTGATATTTGCTTGCTGCAGATTAAAGAAAACCCAGCAATTACCACAGCGCTTGCAAGTTTTGGCTCTGTTGGTGAAGATCTTCACCCGCCCTTCACTACAGCACAGTGATGTTCAGCATTAGGTAATAGGCTTCCATCCTCAATAACTAGCAAAAATATGCTCATCCAAAGGTAGAACTACAAAAGAAACTTGGCATACATGCCACTGGTGATATGAAAATCACAACCTTTTGCTGTAAGAATTTCTTCTACCTTGAGACACAAGCATCTGCTGACAATGTCAGCATGGGCCAACATTTGATGCAATGATGAGGACACAAACAAAGCATTGAGTACTTCTCACAGCAACAGCTTTTGGCCAGTAAGAACTGTGTATTGGCTTGAACTGGGAAAACACTAGTAAAAAAGCCATCAAGTTTCAAGGTTTTTTTTTTTTTTCATAGAACCACTTATTTTTAGCTCTGCAGTCAATTTAGCATGAGTTACCTGAGCCTACTTTCACCTGACACACAGAAGTGCTTTATGAGCACTGACAAAAACTGCATTTCTGTTAATGTCTCCTAAGCTAAATAGATAGAACTGAGAGCAGTTAGTGACATTTTCCTCTGTAGCGGAGTTGGTCTAGATCAACTCAAGAGGAGCAGCAATAGAAAGGACATTCTAATAATGATACAGCCCCTAATTATATAGATCATCACTGCAAGAAAGTGTGTCCCCCTGAGAACACTATTTGCATAAATAACACCTAGCCAGGCCACATCTTGCTCCCATTGAACTACCTGATGGAGCCTAACGCTGCCTTTGGCAAGCCAAAAAGGTGGTTCTGAAATTACTAGGGAGTAAAAGACTGGGGGCAGTGACAAGAGTATTCACCCAGAAACTTCTTCCATGAAACTAGATGTTTGCCCCCCAGAGTGTTGATGATACTAATGAACAAAAGCATCCATTACAGTCTTCAGAAAATCCCTCCACTTTCTCATTCACCAACTTCCCACTCATAAACACAAGATAAAAAAGTAGAGAGGAACCTCTAACAAGATTTTATTCAATGGTGCACAATAGAGAGATATTCGGATTGAAGCAGAACAGTACATATATTTTTCAAATTGCTAAAACAAACCCATAATGAGATGAACAATTCGGGCTGACGACACAAGAAGCTTAGTGACCATCTCTCTAATGTCCATACCTGAAAATACACAATACATTACATTAATGCTTTTTGAAGATTTGTATTTGATACTAGCACTTATTTGGGCTCATTCTCATTATAGTTATTCTAACACAATCTAATCAACATGCAACACAGATATAGATGAAATGCTATCCTATGGAAACCTTGGGAAGTTCTCCACGTTTCACTTCCATCAGATATGTCCAGTCTTTACTTAGATGGGAGACTAAGCAGTCCACCATTTCATTTGCAAGAGACCCTCAGTATCCCCACCTTCTTCCCCAAATCCCACTTCAGTTACAGGCCAAGTGAAAACAAGGCCAGAACCTATGGCACCCCTGCACATATTATTAGGAGGCATAGGAAGATACATATTTCTATCACTCATAAAGCTGCTCATGCAACATTAGTCTCTAACCAGACAGAATAGCTGCACCTTGGGCTCGGTTTTCACTAACTGTTCATTAAAATATCTTTAAGATCAAAACTATAGTACTTAAAATGCCTTGTCAATTAAATACGAACCAGGTTCCAATGACAATCCCAAGTAGCTACAATATTTGTTTCGGTTTGTTTTAATCTGAATTCTTAACAGACTCAAAATGGTCTAAATAGACCAAAAAAAGTGTGTGTGTGTGTGAGTGAATCCACAGTTATGCAAAAAGAGATTAATGGATAAACAGTGCAGAATGATGCAAGTGGCAGGCACAGTTCCCAACTACTGTCCACGTACAGTTAATCCTCAAAAACCCAACCATTTATCTCCTGATTAATCTAACAACAGACCTTTGAAGAAAGCAAACAAAAAAAGAATGCAGGAAGTCTGAATAAATGGGTGAACAGTAGCAATGGTTACATGGACTTGCTTCCAAGATACTAAGAAGTCAGCTGTATTAACCTTTAATCTAATCTTATTAGAATTATAAAACAAATCACCAAGACCCAATAACACTTCTGGCACCTCAGTATAAATACCCTGAAAGGAGAGAGGCTCAATTCAGGTCACTTTCCAAACCCAAATTGCTCCTGTGGCAGCACAGTATTCCCCTGAGGCTGTTTGCAGGGAATTCGACTTCTCTGTTCTCCACTCTTTCGTGAGGACATGGATAGAAATTGCCCCTTTGCAACAATGCTCATTTACCCACAGCTATTCCATCCTCCTTCCGAGTCACCAGGTGACTCAGGAAAGGTTACTACATAGCAAAGTAAAATTCTTTCCCAACAGCAGCTGTGCTGTCAGATGCAGAAGCGAGGATGGTTACCCACATATCTGACATGGATCATTTCTGCTAGCAGAAAAAATATTGCATTTTTGGATGTTGACAATTGTGCAGGATACCTACTTTTGAAACTCCCATTCCCTGTTGTCCAACGGACATACTTGGCGAGTTTTGAGCCAGCGGGAGATGCAGTGGAAGTGGAAAGCATGCTGGAAGAGAAAGTTCAAATCACATCATTTCAGAACACAGTATTCCTAAACGTGTCTCTCCATGAAAGCTAACACATCAAAATCATCACGGTAAGAAGCGAGTAGCAAGCGCATGCAAAGGTGGGAAGGACTCATCAGCCAGCTTTCTGGTAAGCACCGAGATGCTGATCCAAGTTCAAGGGAGAAAGGGAACATTAATGAAACGGCAGCAGGCAGACGGTTCCACAGGAGACGGTGGCAAGCGACTGACTTCTGCTGAGGAGAGAACGCAGAGTTTTGCAGCTGCTAAAATTGGCAGAGCAGATGCTGATAAGAAGCACAATCAGAGAGGCGAGGAAAAGGATTTCGCATTAAGCAGCAGGGTGACATGTATGGAGACAGGCTGAAGCTTTCTGCAAGACTTCTGGACAAACTCAAGCTTGAATAAAAACGAATTTGCAAGGTCAGAAAGAAAAAACAAAACCCTCTATCACACAAACTGCAAACGCTCTCTTCCATGCTCCATGCAGCTCCTTAAAGAAGAATGTTCCATTTGTGCTAATTATGCACAGAAAGTCGTAATTTTGACCCTAGACTATTCTGACACGGTTAGGAAAAAAAAAAAAAAAGGCACTCATCTTTTACAGACAGAACCATAACATTCATAATCCTGCTTAGGGATTATCACATTGTAACTCGATCCCACAGCATAGCAAGGTGGAGAGTGAGCAACAAGTGGCTCTCCCATTACAGAAAACTGTGTCTTCCCGTTCAGGGCCAGCCCAGCTAAGAGAAGGCACACCGGCCTGAGGGAGTGCATACAGCAACAACATGGAGGAGCTGGAGATTGGACACTAAACTGATCTGATCCTCTTCCAAACGGGAAAGCAAACCACCCAGTCAACCTGTACTGACTCCTCGAATCAGCCTGCACAAAGATAAATCAAAACATCAAATAAGAACAAGACCTATCTTCCTCCCTCCTCCTCTGTGCTCCCCCTTATACCTCTCCAACTTTCATTCTTAAAATTTATTTTCTACTGTCTCCCTTCTACACTCTGCTAAACAAATCATATTTTAAAGTTCTTTCTCTTTCTGGAGGATAACTTGCAGCCTTTTTCAGAATAACTTAGAGAAAGAAGGGACATGGTTATACTTCAAGCTCACTGACAGAAGAGTTCTCCTTACATTGCAGACGCCCCATGCAACTGTGCACTCTTCAGAGGTAGCTGATGCTTGATTTGCTTGACACTCTATGCCTGTGAAAACAAAGATTAAACACGTATATGCAGGAGCAGAAGATCTATATGCAACAACAAATGGCAGATTTCTTTATTACAGCAAGTAAGGAGGAAAAAAAAAAACCCCTCTCTGTTGAATTCATTACATTGACAAGTGTCAAGACTTTTTTGAACTTTTCCCCCCAAAATGTTAGAAAATAAGATAATTCACCTCACCTTCCCCTTTCCTCTAATTTTACTATCCCAAAGAACCATAGGGCTAGAGTACTTTACTCATCATCACCACCCCAGCAATGTGCGCCTGCTTTCCAAGTTTTAAGAATAAATATTTCTCATTTCGTTTGTTGTGCATTAATGCACCTTTTCTGATGACCATTACCACAACAGAGCTGTGAAGAAAAGTTTACTTAAATTTCTAACCTAGATTTCTCTAAATATAAATTCATTGTCTTGTCAGACTTCTTTTTAACCATAAATTGTATTTACAGAATAATTATATTTGCAAAATAATTTATGTAAAGCGGAATTTTGTCTGTCTCTTCTCTACAGCCTTGTGACAGATGAGTATGTGCCCAAACGCATACAGAAAATACAGTTTAAACTATATTTAGAGTTTTTAACACCTTAGAACACAGTACCTAGGATGATGATCCTGAAAAGGACAAAGATTATTTATTTATTATTATATAATTATACATATAAGATATTATATAATTATTTATTATTATTATTATTATATTTTTAAATGTCAGGAGACATGAATGAAGTGAGGAAGAAGAATAGCACCAAGAAAACAAATCCAGCAACCTGGCTGTCAATTCTACACCCCAAACACTTCAGTTAATCTCCATCTGAGGAAGAAGTTTAAGCAGAAAACAAAATATATTTCCAACTTTCCTACAATCAGCAATACAAACCTATTTTAAGGATAACATTCTAGTTCCTGCTAAAAATGCTTCTTTAAAACAACCAAAGTCAAGCCCAAAGGGTTCAAAAAGAAGTACTGATGATCAGCTTAGATTTGGATATTTGGTTTGGTAAATTTCTTCTTTTGCAAGTTTTTTTTTTTGGCCAAGAAAATATCTGAACAAGCTCCAAATCTCTGTGCACTCTGCGTGCATCTGAATATGCTTAAAGGAAAAGGAACTGAATTCACCAATTAGGATTTTAAAATGTTAAAATTCCCACGGGTTTAGCTGAAAAATGTGATCTTCATTTGTTCTGTCCTTTTTTATTTTTTCCTCTCTTTTCCACTCTCAGGTGTGGAGATGAACAAAATGAGAGACCTATTTTTCATGACACATGAGAAAGATCTTTTAACCTCAGGCATGAGAACTACCCAAAACAAGACTGAGATTTAAAGAAACTGAGTTCCAGCAAATGTTCTGCAAGATTTAGATGAAGCTACATTTAAGATATAGTTTTCATCAAAATACAATATACAAAGCAGAAAGTCCAAAGTTCAATCTTTGGCCTGTTCATAGAAAAGTACAAATTACAGTGCAGCTGAAATGTTACATTTCTTAATTTCTTAAGCCTTCAACATCTATATTAATAGAACTATACCTAATTAAGTGGAAGGTGCACAAGAACCTGAGAGCTTCAGCTTCTTTGGAGAAAGGTGCACCTTTGTGGAAACGTGCTCAAGACTACTGCACCAATTTAACTGTTAACAACAGTACAGACTCATGATCTTACTAGTTATCATAGGCCATGTAGGGCTAGTTTTATAGATTCTGAATGGTGAGAAGAATAGTGGGAGAAGGAGAGACAGCGCACATGAAGGTCAGCTGATAAGCTAAGTAACTCAGGAAGTCCCTGGCTGCTAAAAGCAAGGAAAATATTCCAGCACACACTATGCTTATCTTGTTTCTTCTCCTCTTCCCCCGCTGGGAACAGGATATTGGGCATATTAAACCTGAAGTCCATCGAGCCCAATCTCATGTCATTCGGTCATGTCCCCGCAATGGCCCTAATCTGTGCACTGTATATTTTGGAATATGATCCTAAAACTTTTTCAGGTTTTTAAGATTGTATTTTGAGTGTGAGGGAGAAAGGAAGCAAGGTGGCTTAGGTAAAGGGAGAAATGCAGCACTGAAATTCATTTTAGTGTTATCCTGCATTTGCTAAATAGCAAATATGGTCTAAAACAAATGACTACCAAAGCTAGAAGCACAGATGAGGTTTTGCAGGAATAGCTGAGTTCTCTGGTGGGGATGTAAGGGCCTCCCAACAAGACATCCAGATTTAACTTCCTCATCAAAGAGGCTGGCACCATCTTTTACTGACTGAAGGAAAAAAAAGGCCTTGCAAAAAAAGCACTGCTTGATCTCCCACTTGCCTGATTTCAAAAACAAAACAAAACAAAGGCAAACAGAAAAAAAATAGCATAAAACAAAACCAGTCTTGGTCAGAAAATGAAAATTGATTATTTCAGCTATTTACTGGCTACTGACCCAAAGTTAAGTGATAAGAGATGGAAAACAACAGGTACCAGAGGAGAAATAGTGAACTACACTTCATTGTTTTGCTTTTGGCAGAGCATCTGGAACAAGGGCAGAAAGACACGGCTAAACCCTGAACTACCTGCAATAATTGTGAAAGACACAGGGCAGGTGTTTCAACTCAGGCAGCTACAGAAATGCATATTATATAATAACTTGTGAATCTTGGCATCTCTTAAGAACCATCTCTCTTCCTCCTCATTTCCCATCACAAAAATCTTATGTATAGTTATGCAACAAGAAAAGCAGCTCCACAGGACTACTTAACAGAAGGCAAGTACAGGTCTTCCAGTTGCAGCTGCCATTTACAGGCTGCTGCACTGGAAACCAGCTGCTAGAGCTCCCCAAAATGGCTCCTGCTTGAGCAGGGGTAACCACTAAACGGCTTCCCCTTTCTCTTTACATGTTGCCTTCTCTATTTTCTTTTTTAAGCAGGAAGGGACTTTTTTTTTTATTATTTATTAGTCATGAAGGGGCTGATCTAGTTGCAAGAGCAGAAATGAATATGAAGAGCTAACATAGCATATACTGTACTCAATCAGAAAAGGATGAAAAACAAATAACCAGTTTAATAAGCTTTGGAGTACATTTGTTACCTACGAGATGCAGCATGAACTCTCTAGTTTAGTTTTCAAAACTTCATATGGATTCTAGTACTTTCTGGTAAGTTATCCACTTTTTTTTTTTTTCTCTCCCCAAGAGTTACCCTAGGTCCCACCCACATCACATTGTCACACAATCCCTTCTACTTATAACCCCCTTCTATGACGCTCAGTATTTCCTCTTGGTATCAGACTCAAAAATATTTGTACGCAGTTATCATGTTCCACTCCTACTTAGGACTTAGCAATCTATCTATGCTCAGTTCTGCTCTCTCATTCTTCCCATGAACCCAAAATAATTCCACTTGCTAATCCCTCAAATTCTCCTTTGAGCCGGCTCAATTTGTCCATCTTTGTGCAACTGGAATACCTACTTTGCATCTTATTATCAAAGAAGGAGGTCAGTATTTCAATAGCATATTTTATTTATTTCAAAGGCCAATGGCTCACTTTTGATAGCGCATTATATTCCACATTTCAGACCAGAAGGTAACCCGTCATAATAATCACAGTGTGTTCCGACACTCCCTGACTTACCATGCTACAGCACTAGCTCCACAGAGCAAGCCTTTGAAGAAATCAAGAAGGCTGTTTAAGTAAAATCTTAATAGGACATACATTTTAGTTTCCAGAGACCAATGAAAAGAAGAAAAAAAAAATCATTCATTCTGCACACTGACAACGAATCACACTGGGTGGGCTGGGGAAATCCTTTGACCATATGAGTCGTGATGTGAACTACACTGGAAGGAGTACACAAAAACCTTAACTTTGTTACATCCTAGCCTTTGGATGCTTGACTTTATAATGCTAACAATCTGCCATTAGCATAGCTGGTGTGCTTATCACTTATCATTCTTTTAATGTTTCCCCTTTCAAGGCTTCTCTTTTATCACCAGAGAATGGAGGCATTTGAATCCGGCATTTGATCAAATTGAATCTTGTGTTGTCCTTCCCTGCACATTCTATTAATTTTTCCTCAATTTCCCATCACTTCACATCTTATGTTTGAAAATCTAATTACATTTTTTTTAAACATCATTAATGAACTGTAACAAGGAAGTACGTAAAGCCAGACCCAACATTGATCCGAGAACAGCGATTTATGCACTTCTCAAACTCTGACCAATTCTGGTCAGCTGTCTGCAGCACAGGCTTTTCATAACACTGCTTAGATCCAAACTAACGTGTGCTATGCTTAAGTAACTCAAAAAAGAGTCAACCACATCCTCTTCATTCACTATTTCTCCTATTCTGCCTTTACAACCTCAGAATATCATTTCTGCAGGACTTTTTAATTTTGAGGACAGACACAAGAATTGTGCTACTGGAGAGGAACATGTCTACTCCCTTTCTAGCTCCTCTACATCTCCCCTTCATCATACTTTCTATTTGCCACTTATTAAAAATGGCAAATAGCAAAGATTCCACTTGGTCTTCCAGAGGAAGTGGTATTAATTTTGAGGCAGATTCACATAATGAATCAGAGTATATCCCTCTTCTTTTGAATAATTATACTGGCCTACATTATTTTACACACGTATTCTACTGATGGACCTTTAAAATTCAATTTACTTGTCACTTGCATGTCTTCCTCTGCAATATATCATAATCATGAGAGATTGAGCTGTATCTGTAGTGCCTGCTTCAACTCCTTTTCAAGATGGCAGAAGTTAGAGGGTCGTCAAAAATAAATCCTTATGTTAAAGAACTTCAGCACATTTCACAACTGCTGTTCTCTCTTGCTTGTCTCCCTGCTATCATTCTCTAATAACTATGAATAAACTGAGGCATGAATAGAGAGTCACTGACAGTAAGTTATCATTACCAGTAATTCCAAGGGCATTTGTATAAAAATGAAGTGAAACAAAACTGTCACAAGGGAATCCTGACTGCCATATTCAGACACTACAGTTGTACCTGCTTTTGCTTTTTGAGGTTCTATGATCTTAACATTTTAGTATTACAGGCAAATAAGCCTAATTTCTATACAATTAAATTAAAAATTCTTCCAACCTTCATTACTTAAAGAGTTGGATAGGTGAACTGTGTCAAAAAACAGCTTCTCGGTGTTGAGAAAAAAAAGGCTTATTCACTATGACTGAATAGCACACACCCATCTCAGGGTAGAAACTTTTATACTTAACTGCATTTTTGTTTGTTTATATGCATAACTATATAAAAGCATACTTGTTAGTTGAATCATCAATGTTATACAGCAAAAGCCCTCATCAATATTAGGACTGTTCTGTGTTTTCTTTCAACATTTCATTATTCATAAAAAAGCAATTAGTTCCCTGAGTGACCATATAATTCCCCATAATGCAACGTTAACTAACTTAGGCAAAGTAGCTTTTGCAGAGCAAGGAATCAGGGAATGAGCCATTCTTGGCCAGACAGATACAAAAAGTCTTAAAAGATTTCATCCTAGTGGGCTTTTTCAAACACTTCATCCCTATACCTCAAACTCCATCACTTCTCTTTGAAAGCATTACTTGTCAACCCTAAATAACTTTACCTCCTTCCAGCTCTTTATCATTATTCCCCTTCCTCCCAGTTCCATTCAAAATACATTCAGCAAAATCATGTCTTCTGTGGATGTGGGACCAAGTGATTCTATCCCTTACCAGAAAAGTGTGGGAAAAGCAATATAGTGGCAGAAGTCACAGATACAGATTACAGAACTTTAGCACTATACAAGATAGAGTATAGCATTATAGACATTGAGAAAAGTTATTTCCTAACTGAATCTGTATTTGTAGAAACATACTCTGAACCGGGGATATTTCAGCTGTGCACCATGCCTGTGACAAAACTGTGAAGCGTCTTCCTCACCAGTTACTTACATAGATCCATAATGTGGTTTCTGCAAATGGCACAGTTATCAACCACAATGTCCCATGCCCACAGAGCTACTGCATTCCACTAAGAAGAGAAGAAAAAAAGAAAGAGAAACATATTTTTAAACTATATTTAACATAGCTTTAACAAAATTTATAGCACACACAAATCCTTGTTTTTCCCCTTAAGATCCCATGTATTTCTGAAATGGAAAAGCAGGGATATTTCACAGAAAAAAACTCTTAGAAATCCAAAGCCAATTCTTCTCATGAGTCCGAAAGTGTTAGATGAAAACAACAGTACATTCTCCTCCTTATTCTTCTCATAATGCCCCTTCCTACTTCAGAAACGACAGCTATGTTTTTCTGTTGTTGTTTGTTTTTTTGTTTGTTTTGGTTAAACAAATGTAATCATCTGCATTTCTATTCAAGATTCCTAGGCAAGAATGTATCTCAAGCTACATCCTCAATTCTGATGGAAAGGGCACTGCCTCGAAGAGAGGCCAATCCAGATGCCATTTTGTTAAGAAGAATTTCCGTTATTTGCAGCTGTTCTAAGAAATAATCTTTCCCCAAAACAGTTGAAACCAAGGATTGGAATCAACTCTCATGCTGCCTCCCCCCAACTCCTGAACGATTAAACAGAGCACTTCCCTTCAATATTCAGAACAGTGTGACTGCATACAGGTAGCCAGGATAACCTTCACTTACTGTTTACTAATAACAAAGAGTTCTAGACATTTTATTTCTTTCCAGCTTGGTGATCGAGTTCCTTATCTCCCAAGGACTCCTTCATTATGGCACATTGCATGTTACGTTCCCATCACCCTCATCTCTTCCAAGATGAGGCAGCTATAGACCCCGCTATGGCTCTGGGGAGGGAATACAGCACCTTGCATACACAGGGCAGCTGTAAGGAACACACTGGAGGGCTCCTCTTGCACATACAGTTGTTGCACTGGCAGCCAAAGGCAGAGCTATGCAGAACTGCAGCAACACACGATACTGTGGCACAAGGATATTCCCCACCTCTACTACTGCGGCACCAGCAAGCACTTGAGTGAGGCAACTACTTCAGCAGAGACCCAGAGCCCAGCACAGGGCTGGGAGCTTCCATCGTTGCCAACAGCAGCTGTATTTCAAAGAAGCTAACTTGGAAACAAGTTAGCTGGGGAGTTAGTCCTCTCTAAACAGGAAAACATACATATATATAAATTGCTATATGGAAGTGTTTGCTAATAACCAATCCAGAGTTTCTCTTTTGCAGACTGTAAGGTTGAGCAGCCCCACACGAGCTCCCTTCCTCACCTACGCCCTTATATAACAGGTACACAGGCGTTTGGCACTACCTGCCTGACAAGGTGATGGGAGGCTCTTAGCAAGGGACCTGCATTAGACTGTTTGGGGAAGTAGGGGAAAACTAAAATAATAGTAATGATAAAGTGTGACAGGAGATCGCTTACTGACTATGCACACACAGTATACTGCCCGAGAAAAAAGGGCAATAAAATAAAGAAGTCTTTGTCCAGAGCAGCCTTCCAGGGCTCCCAGGCCGGGGCGGCGCCAGAGCCCCCTCACGGGGCAGTCCCTTCGCCCGGCGGCG